ACCCAGACTCCCCAAATTGATGCTTTATTTTTTTCCGGAAAAGACTGAATATTCAACTCTCAGATAGCCCAGGCCTTCAAAGTCAATGCTTGCTATATTTTTACCAAAAAAGCCCCAATATCCAGCTCCCAAACAGCCCAGGCTCCCCAGCTCAGTACTTTATTTTTCCCAGAAAAGCCCAGTATCCAACTCTCCCCCAGCCCGCCCCACTGTGGCAGCAAAATACCCAACCGTGCACTGTGGAGCAGCAGTCAGCCTCTCGTTACCAATACATGGCCGCAATGCTCCGTGGTGGTGCCTGGCACCCGGCTTACTGGGCCACCGCAGTGGCTCCCACCCATGCAGTGGGTGGCTTGCACCCCACTTCCGGCATCACGCCACCCTGAGCCATGTTTATTTGCTCTGCACCGGCGTGCACAAGGCCAGCCATGGCCAAATGCCCATTCCAGGCATTGCAGCGCCAGGCTGGAAGGGTTCGGTTTCCATTCAGGAAACAAAAATAAACTCCAGCTCTGCAGCGCAGGGAGGAATCTCCCCCACTGAAAAAGCATAAAGCCAGTGGGGAGGTGCCAAAATCGGCACCTGTTCAAAGGGATGCAGCCAGTGTCCTTCCCACCCATCACCTCTTTGGCAGTGGCACCCAGCACCCATCACCCTGCTTAAAAATAATCCCTGGGTTGGGGCTGGGAAGCTGTGGTTTCCTGTGCTGATGCCTCAGGAACTGAGGCCTGGGTGGTGAATGTGCCAAAATGTCCATAAATCACACCAGGCGGTGGTGCAGCGGTACCGGCGGTGTGCGGGCAGCCTGGGCACAGGGGCGCAGGCAGCGCTGCGGGCAGCCTGAGCACGTGGGTGCTGCAGGCAGGGCGGGAGTGGGTGCAGGCAGTACGGGCATGTGGGTGCAGGCAGCCTGAGCGCACGGGTGCAGGCAGCATACAGGCAGGATGCTGAGAGGCAGTGGTGAATTGGGATTATTTTAGGCACTGGGTTCTCTCGGTCCATGTGCCACCAGTTGTCCGTGTGCTGCCGGCTGTGTGCCTGCCACCCATTCTTCATCTGCCAGTTGCAAATCAAAGAATTTGCCGATATGAGACCCCTTGCCCTGCACAGACCACATCCCCCCCGGGGGTATTGCAAGCACAAACTTATTATTAGACATCAGAGACTCCACCTGGGAGATGCTGCTGGTGGGCAGGTTTTGCGTCTGCCTGCAGCGGGTGCTGGGTTGGGGGAATGCATGGGGGGGGGTAGGTGATGCCCCCAGCTGGGGTTGATATGGGATTTGGTGCCCGCAGCATCGCTGCCTACGCAGAGGCCATGCGAGTGCCCAACATGCTGCCCCCTGTCCTGCTAGACGTTTCGCAGGGCTGGGAGATGTGGGGGGGCACCCAGCCCGCCACCCTTGACCTCCTCGTCAGCATCAACATGATGCACATCGCGGAGCTGTGCTGCACTGAGGTGAGGTCTCTAGCCCCTGGTTTGGGGGTCCTGGGGCTGAGGAGGGGACTCCTTGGGGGCATCCCTAGCCCCCTAACCCGGCCTCCACCTTGCTTTTTTCCCCAGGGCCTGTTCAAGGGTGCTGGGGTGCTACTGAAGCCTGGAGGCGTGCTCTTCACCTATGGTGTGGGTACTGCTCAACAAAGTACCCGTGGTGGTGTGGGTGTGGGGGTGTTGCTGGGGATGCCGGAGTGGGGCAGATGGGAGGGCATGGCTTGTAGTGGAGGGAAGTGGGAAAAGTGGGGGGCTCAGCCTTTCAGGACACAAACTGAGCATTGGATGGGGCGGCTTTGGCCACTAGCCCCCAGGATAGGGGTGGTCCTGTCCTCCCTCGCCCCAGTCAGGGAAGGGTCCAAGGGGGCTGTGGTGGGTGGCGGGACCCATGGTCGCTCTCGGAGGCCGTGTCCCCTCTCGCTTGGCTTCTGTGTGTGGTGGGGACAGCAGTCCATGGGCCGGGGGAGGTCTGGGGGACACACAGGGTGACTCACGTCTGCAGCTTCGACCTGGTGTCCCGACAGCCCTATGCAGTGGATGGCCGGATCAGCCCCCAGAGCAACGTGGACTTCGACCGCAGCCTGAGGCAGAGGTAGGAGAGGGGGCTGGGACAGGGCAGGGCTGCTGGTGGCCCCTCCTGCCCACGCTGCCTGCACTGCCTGTGCTGCCTGCAGCCGCAGGGAGCTCCCTCCCAGCATGGTCCTTCAAGATAAGACCTAAAGCAGTGGCCAGGAAGGAGCCTCTTTGGCTAGGGACACCCTTGGGAGATGAGGATTCTTCGAGGGTGCGCTGTGCGTCTGTCTGACCCCTGTCTCACTCCCCGGCAGCAATCCCGCCTGGGGCCTTCGAGACACGGCGCTCCTGCGGGAGCTGGCCCAGGCCAACGGGATGCGGCTGGAGAGGATGGTAGGTGCTGGGGTCTGCGGCAGGGGGGACAGCCTCTTGCACTGGTGGGGACCCCCCTGAGCCCCAGCTGTGCTTCCAGGTGGACATGCCAGCCAACAACAAGAGCCTCATCTTCCGCAAGCAGTAACCTTCACCGGTGGCATCTCCTGGCATCTTCCCAGCATCTTCCTGGCACTGCTGCTCCCTCCTCATTGATGCTTCCTAGAGGGACAGCAGTGGCGGGATGGTGTCCCACTCGCCCAAGCTGGGGTTGGGCTTGGCTGATGGGCTTGGTGGGGGCAGGGGGTGTCAATCTCCATCAGACCCTTCTGGGCTCCCTTTGCAATGGGGGCCCCAGCCTGGCCCAGAGAAGCCACCAGAGCTGCCACAGGAGGCAGGCACAGGCATGGGGGGGGGGAAAACGACCATGGAGAGGGCACAGCATCCCTGCGCAAGTGAAGGGTCTTCTTGCTCAGTGCCAGTTTCCCTGGAGGATGCTGTGCTGATGGCAGTGGGAACCTGTCCCCCTTACTTCCCTTCCTCCAGGACTGTGCTGCTGCTCCCCCCAATAAACTCTGGACCTTTTTCTCCCCACCCCCAGCAGCTCCCTGATGCTTTCAGCACTGACAATGGTGGGGGAGCATCCCCAATTCATCCCCCATCCTCCCCACAGCACTGATGGGGGGGTTGGATCCTCCTCTGGGAGCACCCAGGGGTGTTACACTGAGCCTGAAGGCTTCAGTACAGTGTTTGTTTTGTTTCGTTTTGGGGGATTGTCCTGTCCCACCCCTCTACAACCCAACACAGTCATTTATTGCTGCTGACTGGGCTGGGGGGGTACATGGGAGCAGGGGGCATGCAGCAGATAAATTACAGGGGACAGGGGAGCTGGGCTGGGGCTCAAGATGGGGCTGGAGGGGGGACTACATGGTGATGGCAATCCCTAGATACAAGCACTGGTGCAAGGGTCCGCCAGGCTGCCCCCATCTGTGGTGGGTCTGCAGCCCCCCACACTGGCACATCCCAGCTCTCCCCTA